AGAGCTTTACGTTTTCTGAGGTTAATGTATTTTGCTTCTGATTTCTGTTTCGCTATCAACATCTGAAAAAGTCACAAACAAAAATATAAGGCTCATATATGAAAGAAAGACTTGTTCTCTCGAAAAAGCTGACATATTTAATAGTAAAAATGTATAAAACTTACAGGGTATTTTTAATAATTGGGAAATATATAAAGTTGAGATAAATTTAAAATGATTAGACATTTTCTCTTCATAGCATACTGTAAAACATGTTGAAAAGTGGCATGCAAACTTAGCGAATTGTGGTAAAATGACGTAATAGCGAAATGTTGATTTAGCGAATTTCTCTTGTCATTGTTGATTTCCATAATAATATATCAGTATCACTTCATTTATCTATTTATATTGAAATAATGACCACAATGAATAAGTTCATTTTTTTGGGTTAATTTACTTTTCAATAAAGTGTATCTATCATGTCAGTACGTTTTTTTGTGTTGTTTACAAAGTGTGTGTGGAGAAAAAAGACAATGTTTGGCGGCCATTTTGAATTTATAATAAAGTCATTAGTGACATCTTGAATTAGCGAATCAGTTCTCTCGCTACATTCGCGAAAAATACATGCTTTATGAATGTTATCAAAAATTACGTCATGTTATTAATTATTCATTAAGAAACAAGCAATGCAAACACAAATAAGAAAGCGATTGATTTAAGACAGCACTGTGGACAAAACAAATTCTCACTGAATGAAAATCGTATACGAAATGATACACTTTTTGAACTATTTTACAAACCTTGGAGACATCCAATGCCTGCAGTTGATGTACAGTTTCTATCACTTCACCTGTAAAACTATCTAATGTTGACATCAAGTCTGGATACTGACATGATTTAAACATTTTACGACACAGTTTTGTCATCTTGTTGAACAGAGATGGGAGTCGATAAAGCAAAGATTCTTCGCTAGATTCCACACTTGGTTCAAAATACATCTGGTGAAACAAAATGGAATATAAGTGAACTTGAACTAGTGAGTATATTTTACTGACATCAATAGATACAAAGTATAATATAATCCCTGGTAAATACTGTAAAAGGATTAACTATTTACTTGGTTTTAGTTTTGCTTATTTCGCTGACTGGAAAATGTGCTTAATTAAAACCCAGTGAATATGTAAAATTTAGCATAGAACACATTATCTAAATGATAAAACCATGAATTTAAAACCCACTGAATATGCCCGAAATGGTAAATCAGCGAAATTTAAACCCAGTGAAAGTAAGTCATTTTACAGTAATCTCTACAACTATGAATTCACAATCGTATATTGTTGGTTTGAATAATGCTGTTAATTAATGGATTTTTGGACTAGGTAAATGGCTACTTGGGTTGGGTATTAATCTGTTTAGTTCTGATTTACACAGAGTTGCTTCGAAGGAAGCAGTTCTCTGAATACATGATACTATACATTCTTACAACGCCGTTCTGCACATTAACTTCGGCAATCTCTGGAGGCTTACAGCAGGCGTTGTGTTAGGGTGAATATAAATCCAAACAAATCATACTAACCTTCAAAGCATCATGGGATAGACAACTTGTTATCAATGACCCAGAGATGCTGGGAATCCCTTGATGGGTGACGCCGATATTACCGTCTAAAAATGTATTCCTAGCTTGTTCTAACAACGCAGTCTAGAAGAACGACAAAGTGCATAGTTAATAGACGATTATAGAAATTATGAACATAAAGATATTATCGTTATTAAATATTCAATGCTGCACTACTGATGAACTGTTTTATCTATTAAATTTTACAAAGTTTGCATTTCAAACAAAATAACCATACCTTAGTTGCCGGTAAAATTAAAACATAAATTTGGCAACAGACATGATAACATAGATGGCAAAATACCTGGAACAAACGTATTCAATACTTAAGGTGAAAGTGAAGGCACGTTTTGACAATTTTTTGTCTATACATTCATACATTATTATTTTAGTCAAAATGTTAGGAATATGCAGCATTATGACACAACCTTATAATGTACGTATGCCTGAGTGTCTGCTACTAAATCCTAACGACATACTCTGGCAACATCTTAGAATTACTGTGATTGACAGCTGTCTGGATATATTGACCTGGCAACACCTCTTTAGATATATATATACATCTTGCGTCATTACCATGGCAACATACCAATATATCTCACCTCGTATTTCTTGCTGAATTTATGCAATGTCCTGTGTGATTTCTCTACATACTGCTTCATCGCCCAGAAATTGATATCACTCCATCTAGCTATCTTTACAAAACCCTGTTATAACACAAAACAATGACACATTAATGAACTCTGAAATGATAATTTTAAGCTCTTTGTACAACATTTTTCCAACATGATTTTGAAGTGTTAATAAAAGCTTTGAAAAAAAACTAGCACATTCATCCACATGTACATTCAGCACATGTTATTAACATATTGTCCTAATTAAATTAATAATAATATAAGTGTTCATACTTGGGTCCTTCATTCTCTAGTAAGCAAGCAGGAAAATTTAGAGGGCTGATTTAATATATTAGGATGCCTTCTATGGTGGCCACAGAGGGCGCTAGACCGTTTAATGAGCTAAATTTTTATTTAAACCCCTGGGAGATAAATTTGTAAGAATATACTACGCTTGCGTCATACAGGAGTCTGAAGCACTCAAAGAAGCAGTTAAATTTGAAGTTTTTCTATTTGTTTTTCAATGATTTACAATTTTCTCTAATGTGTCAAATAATGCAAAGAGTAGTTCAAGAATTTTTTTTACCTTCAATTCTTTTTCAATTGGACTTCTAAGAGCTTGAAGTCTTGATTTCACGACTGGTAAAAACTGTTGATAATACTGGTGCACATTCCATAATATGTTGGAGACTGAAACTGAAAATGGGAAGAGTTGTTTTGTTATATGTCTGTAATGATTTGAGGCTATGACATTTAGTTTAGTTATTTGCATAATGATATTGATACATTGTATGGAACATCTTGTGAGTATTTAGACTCAGTTCCAGGCCTAGCAGTTGAGCAATAAACACCTTGGCTACAAGTGCTCCTCTCCAATGTGTTATTCTCCTCTCGGATTTGGTGACCAATACTCACTTGGTTCACTCTACCATGAGAAGTCTGTTCTCAGTTTACAATGTCATAATTCTACATAAAAAAGACAGTCTCTACAATAATGTAAACTCCCACGTTGAGCACCAGTTGTTCAAGTTACCAAAAAAACCTTGGCTTCCTAATCTGTTATATACATACTATACACTGCCGCTTATAGATTTGATTTCAGGTGAGAGAAAGGAAGCAGAGCAATGAGAAGTCACTGTTAACCAATCATATTACCACCATGAACAAAACTTTTAATACCAATGCCATATATATCAGTGTTCTCCCCAGGCCTTTCAAGCACTGCGGGCTCGCGACGCTTAGACAAACAGCCGCGTCGCTTTTGTTTCGCCCGTGATCCTTGAAATCCTGCCTGTCATGCTTATTCACGTTGTATTGTTTACTAGTGTCAGCCTCGTCTAGCACATCTTTAAAACAATAACATGTATTGATCGAAAGGTTATCCCGCCTTTGTACATAGTTAGCCTTACAAAAACAGTGATAAAAACGGAAGTCTACAAGAAGTTACCAAGTCTATCAAGGGTGCGGAGCTGGCAAACCCAAAATACTAGGGTAGTAATAATTTGCCCATTGCGTCGGGATGGTCTATCCCGAGTTGCTGCACTGCAGTTAATTGCGTTTTTACTACTTCATCGCCAGTGACACAAATTACCAAGAATTAAAAAAACAAGTGAAATTAAGTTGCATTGGAAAAAAAAAATGTAAATAAATCGAAGTAAAAATTATTCAACTGCAGACGAGACGGACGAGGAAAAAAACAAACCCTGACCTCTAGAAATACCCCATTCATAGTGCGTCATTATCGAGGAACGCCACCCTAAGGCGACGTAACGCATGTAGTGACATCACAACCGATGCATGCTGGGTTACAAAGGAGATTTTGATTGAGGTAACAAAGATGGCGGCGCAGAGTGCATGTTTTTCCGCGATGTTTAAAAACAACATTTCGTTGGTGATTTTGATGTAATTTCTAAGTTAATCATCAATGAATCGTTTTAATTAAGCAAACATTTTAAGTTTGTGTATTTTTAAACAAAAAAGTCAGGGACTGATGATCGCAACAGCAGCGGTGAATACCCGTTCAACGCAATGCCCTCAGCTGACAATGTTACGGTGATCGTAGCGTTACACAAATAATAGATAGATCAATGAAAAATCGCTGACTTTAGTTTTGAAATGCCGTTGTAGAAAAAAATGTCATTGATTTATTAATTTCTTCATATTTTGATAACCCGCAAGTTTGCAGATTTTACAAATTTAACAAACAATTCCCTCCAGTCGTATGAACTGACAGTAACATTGGCACTAAAACTGACTGTACTTGTACACAAAATAATGATGAACCAGTTACCTCCACGGATAAACAATATATTTACTGACTGGCTACAAGTATTTCCATTTCTTTCCTGTTCTATTTCAAACTTTATTTGACATGATGCACACATAAAACACAATGAATGTAAATGATATAAAATATATGAGATATGTATCTCTTCTTTATTTTAGATGTATTGTAAATTAGCCGTGATGCTTGGCTTAGAGTCTGGGGAGAACACTGTATACAATTATATATCATAAAAAAAACAGATGATGCAAAGTATTCCGTCAACTATAAAATACAGTAAAAGAATTAATTTTTACAGGAATTTAATTTCATGATTCAGATTTTATAAAAATAGTCAATGGATTTTTAAATCCACAGAATAACCAGTGAAACAATGAATTCTGTGTACCAGGTTCACATGGATCTAAAATACAAAATCGAAACTTGATAATTCATTATAAAATTAAATTGCCTGCCTCTTTTAGATTTTACCTTGTTCTGGTGTTGGTTCACGATGTACAGTCTGGCAATGGAAGGAGAGCAGCATTTGTAACCGCGTGGAAAATTCTCCAATACCAGAGCCTTCCATGAACTGTTGCAAATTTGTAACAAATTTATTGACGCCAGTTAATTTCTGTTGACTAACTTCATTCGTTTCCATAGAAACAAGTTCAATTTCAACTTCAGTCCTCTCTTCGTCATCTTTATGCTGCAGGTAGTACTCCACTAATTGGTACAGCTGATACCACCATTTGGAGGCTTTCTGTGCATATCGGTATTCAACCATATCAAGACACGAGGACCAACAACTTTAAGTAGTAAAAAAAACAAAACATTAAATATATTGTAATATCACGAAAATGACATTCTCTCACAATAATTTTTGCCTGATCAGAAGAGTCTTAGAGTGGTAGATGATGTATATGGATATTCGCAAAGCAATCCCCATTATGGATTCTTGTTTAGTGGTGGTACTTTGTGTAAGCAATACAGGATTTCACAAACCTAAGATGACATCCAATGAGTGAGAAATACACACTCAAGCATGACAATTTCTAGTATAAATTGTTCGTATATGTTATGTGACTATTTGAGCGTTTGAGAGCATAAAATGGACAAATGACTGTTGCTGTTGACTGATCATACATTATTTGTGTTGTATCCCGGAGTGATGTAACAGTTAGTGAAATAACAGTTCTATGCACGTCTTATGCCCATTACTGTATGTAAATACAGATTTGAAATACCCGGTACTCACAATTAGTTCAGAATAATATTTTGTAATCAGATATAATCATAGCGATTCTGATGTAATTATTCATCATTACTGAATGCAAACCTGAAGCAAACTCTATATTGCTAGCAGATTCAAAAAATCATATCAGAAAACAAACTAACAAATTTTAAGTTGTTTCATATTGTACCTTAATTCCAGTTTTCTCCACTGTATTATCATATATGTGACATTCTCACAGTGAGTTTGTAATGACACTGCTCTACATGCATTGGACTCCCATTCCTGTAATAACAATTATGTCATTAATCTTATATTTTAAAAACTCCCAAATATTAATACTACACTTACACCGTTTTGACATTTTAAAATTAATTATATGTGTATACATGTAATCTGGGTGCAACACTGATATTGTTAACAGATCTTGGAAAACTGCTTTTTTGCTTAATGCAAGTGAGGATAACAAAGCACGCTACAATGCAAAGGCTCATGGGTAGACAATGACCTTCTATGGCCACATGTGCAAGTGACATCTGGCTCGCTCTAACAATCTGACACAGTGACATGGACATGAAATGCAAGTTACTTTTAATATGAGTGGCCGACTTATGATCCACTCTAGATATCTACCCGTTTCTAGTTTACAGTGAGGACCAAAAAATTGCTGGAAATATTACATAGTTGCAATGGAGATTGATTAGTCATCATTTTTTAAAACTAGCGCCGAAA